TATTTATTTATTTATTTATTTATTTTTGCAGTGATTCATAGTCTTCTGGATATCTGCTCTTTAATCTCCAACCTGGACATGGCAATGCATGCAAACACCTGGAAGTTCCTCATAAAGTAAGTCTTTTTATTGTTCTGATGATAATCGTCATTGCTAAGTGTTTTAATCTAAATTTGTTTCTATTTGCTCCTATTTTATTTTGTTTAGGCAGAGTTTAAAGTACCAGTCCTTGGTGGAGGAACGTCTACGTCACGGTGACATCATCACCAGCCTGTGTGACAACCTGTTGGCCTCCTTTCAAAACTCTGTGGAGCTGGCTGAACAGATCAAGCAAGCAGGTTTACAGGTTGAACGGCTATAAGGACAGAACTAACTAGTCATTAATTGTATTGACTTGTTTTCACATGTCCATGTCTGTTTTCAAACTAAATTGTATGCAAGTGTCACAGTGCAGTATTAATGTGTTTTTACTAACTTGACAACTATTAAAGGGAACCCTAACTAGTTGTAACATTAGACATTATTTGATAAACGTTTACTCCCAACTGTAAAAATACAATACATATGAAGGCTGTTTTAGTTTTTATAAACTTTGAAAAATATACTCTCACACAGGACAGCGCCATATTATTTATGCATACTGAGTAAATGATGACGATTACTAGGTGTTTCGGTGCAATGCTGTGAGCTATATCCACCCTGAAGGTTAATTATGGACAGTATCTGACATTCAACCCTTTTAAATGAAACCAGAGCACCTWGACAGAGAGGAGATTGAAAATGTGGATGGAGGATAATAGAGCTGCTTAATGGAAGGAGAACCTCAGTTTAGCCTGTTAGCTTTTGCATTAGCACCCTAGCTATTACTTATATTTATATATATGCTAGCTATATATATTATTATTATATATATTAGCTATTTATAAATTACCGCCACATATTTATTAGTCATATATATCTTTGGCATTAGTTTTTGAGCTAACATTATTAGCTCGGGAACTAACGCTTTATCCATCCATCCATCCATTTTCTGTACACGCTTCTTCCTTTTCAGGGTTGCGTGGGTCACTGGTGCCCATATCCAGCAGTCACAGTGCGAGGGGCGAGGTACACCCTGGACAGGTCGCAAGTCCATCACAGGGCCATCACACTAACGCTATACTACCATATATAAAAGTATTAACATGGGAAATAGCGTGAAAGCTAACAGGCTAAGCTGAGGTTCTTCTTCCATGAAGCAGCTCTGTTGTCCTCCATCRATATTTTCAGTTACAGGCTGAGTCTTTTCTACATTCTACTCTGTGAATGCACTCTGGATTCATTAAAAAGGGCTGAACGTCAGACGTTGTCCAAAATTAACCTTCAGGGTGGATAGAGCTCACAGCATCACACCGGGACACCTAGTAAACTTCACCATTTACCTGGTACGCTTTGCGGTGTTAATAAAACGTTGCCATCTCATGTGATATGTTTTAAAATTTCTAAAAACTAAACAGCCTACAGTATTTTGACGGTTTTTGTTTGACGGTTGAWGTAAATGTTTATCAAATAATGTTACAACTAAAAAYTGAAATCACTCGTGGTTCTTACTCTGAGTTCTACATGGATAACAAATAWTGGTATTTCCTCTCTTTTTAACCCTTGTTAAAATGCATTTTGTWATTGTGAGGTCAAAAATAGATGGTCTTTTTTTTCAGGAATCAGCACAAAGTCCAGAATACAAGCTGTTCCAGAAAACTGCAAAGATGTGCCGATTCTTTGCCAACACTTTAGTTCATTACATAAAGGTACTAAAATTCACATAATTTTTAACCCCTTGCAATTTAAGTTAATCTACGTAGGAAAGCATGGTAAACTGGCATGTCTTTGTTTTTTTTAATCTTTGAACAGGAATTTACATTTTTTCTGACAAAATACTGCAGGAACTTTCACCATCTTTACCTCAAGATCATCAGGTACTTGTGATTTGCTTTAATGTCCAGAGGCCAAACGCAACTCATGTTTTATTTTATTGATTGAAGTGTCTGATCATGAGGATGACCCTGATATTTTTCAGTGAGTTCCCCCCCAGTTTGTGTGCTCCAGTGTTGCCCACGGCCCTCGCTGGGGACCTGAATGCAGCGGCTCTGGTTCCCATGAATGCCTTCCTGCTCCAGCTGCTGCCTCTGAGGCCTTTTGCTGAAGTTGTGCTCCAGCAGGACCTGAGTGAGTCGAAACACGTTTAACAGCAGTTATTTTAGTTGATAATGTAACCACACTTTCCAGTGTTTTTGTATGATAAATTATCAGTAAATTATTCTAATTTCTGTCATTCTGAAGTAAAATTTTAACAATCAAAGTCTTGAAAACCAATCAAGCAGCCAAGAAAGATTTTTGTTCTTTAAGCTAACTAGTAATTAGGCATTCAAATGATTTTATGATGTGTTTTTAAAGCTCAAACATTCCTCAAATATTTTTTTGATATGGATCCTGTGGGTTATTTTTTTACTTGATCAATAAAATTTACAACATTCTTGATGCAGCGTTGAGTCCCGAGCACGAGCTTCCTCAGTGTCTCCTCCTGGTGAACATCTTAGGACATCTAGCTGAGCAACCAGAAGACGTCCAGCAGCTTTGGTACACTGGCAGTCAGTTCTCAGAAGACTCACTCAGGTGAGTTTGGATTTTTGAAGTGTTAAATCACACATGCAGTCACAGTGTAAAGGTCAAAGGTGATTAGTTCATTTATAAGCATAAATACCATTTTTGCTATAATTATTCAAGTTCTGCTTTAGGATATTTTATAACAGTGAACACAATGTAAAAAAATAAGATTTGTTCTAAATGTGCAAATATGTGTTTTTACTGGAGTCAAACAGGCTGTTAGTCTGTCCATCTAATTTATCCAGAGTCYGGTRTCGGGGGCAGCAGCTTGAGCTTGAGTCCAGACCTCTCGTTCCACAGCTTCCTCTTCCAGCTCTTCTGGGAGGATTCCAATGCCATGTCAGTTGAGAGACATAGTCTCTCCAGCGTGTCCCGAGTCTTCCTCAAGGTCCTCTCCCAGTCAGACATGCCTGAAGCACCTCCCTAGGGAGGCGCCCAGGAGGCATAGGCCAGATGCCTTACCACCTCAACTGGCTCCTCTCGATGTGGAGGAGCAGTGGCTCTCCTGAGTCTTTCCTGGATAATTGAACTTCTCATCCTATCTCTAAGGGAGAGCCCAGCCACCCTGTGGAGAAAACTCATTTCGGCTGATCGTATCAACGATCTTGTTCTTTTGGTCACAACCTAAAGCTCGCGACCATAGGTGAGGGTAGGAACGTAAACAGAGCTTCACCTTACAGCTCAGCTCCTTCTTCACCACAACAGACCGGTACAAAGTCCACAATACTGCATAAACTGCACCTATCAGTCTGTCAATCTCACGCTGTCTTCCCTCACTCATAAACAAACTCCTCCACTCGAAGCAGAACCTCACCCTAAACCTGGCGACAGCAATCCCCACTTTTCCAACTGAGCACCATGGACTCAGATTTGGAGGTCCTCATCCCAGCCGCTTCTCACACGTCTGTGAACCGCTCCGGTGAGAGCTGACGATCACGTCACGATGACGCCAACAGGACCGCAAATAACAGATGGAATTTGAGGCCTTCACGCCCTGACTGCTCTGAGAAATTCTGTCCATGAAAGAAAGAGCACCTCCTACAGTGTCACCTCGAGGAACACGGTCAAACGCCTTCAAGTCCTRAAAACACGTAGACTGGATTAGCAAACTCCCGTGACCCCTGGAGGACTCCTAGTTCAGGTAAAGAGCTGGTCCATTGTATCACGGCTAGGACGAAAACTGCATTGATCCTTTTGAATCTGAAGTTTYACCATTGATGGACTCTCTTCTCCAGCACCCCTGAGTAGACCTCAATGGGAAGGCTAAGGAGACTGGTGACCCTATAGTTTGAARCCACCCTCCTGTCCCCAGGTTTTGACAGTCTGCCGACCCAGTGGAAGTGCTTCATCAAACAGTCCATGAAACTAAAATCCTGCACGATTTTCTGCCAAGAATGAATCAGACGAGCAATTTCCAATCAGTTGTAGTGACTTCAGGTTTGTGTTGGCATTATATCAAAGCTTTTTTTTCCTTTTCTTTCCCCCTCAGGCTTCCTCTCTTCCAGGCTATCTTCATTAGCTTCCGACAGTGCTACACTGAGCGTAAAGTACCAGTGCTGCTGCCAGGGGTGATGTTAAAGGGTCAAGCCCAGGTCCAGGTCACTCTTCACCAACACATCTGTGTACAGCTGTGTGCCGGTGTGGCTGCGCTCCCACCTGCGTTCTTCCCTACACTCGTACGCTCCACACACGCAGTCACATGTTTTAGATCATATGCAGTATTTGTAGAATTGCACTTATTTTTGCTTTTTGTTTCCATATTTTATTCCAAATCTAAAGGCTTTTAGGAAAATAACACTGAGCAAAATAATAAAAAAAAGGTTTCTTGTTTTGTGCTTCAGTAAAACTACATTCACTTCCTAAAACTATGATGGTATCTGGACCTTAAACCCAGCTCAAAGCGTAGGCTAATTTGAAACCATTTATTTACTTTGGCCGTCTAAAATCTGCACATTAGCTGTGTTTTTGTTACAGGACTTCCTCTCATTCAGGACTAGTAATTATATCACTTTCATTTTTAGTTGGTTAAATATTTTTTAAACTTTTTTTCCATGTTTTTGTTTCCTCCTCCTGATTTCCCACACTCTTGTTATCTGTCTTTTTCAGGAACGTTGTTTGATTGATGCCGTGCTGCAGGCCGATACTCAAACCGCTTTACTGGCAGCAGATGTTTGGTGCTTTACAGCGCGGTGAGAGTAAGGAGGGCTAACAAAGTTTTAGTGGGGTTCAGCAGTGAACTTGTCTTTGTTTTTAAATCGTCCACTCATTTTTTCTTGTTTTATACCTCCTGTCTTACCACAGGGCCACATAGAAACAAARGAGACAGCCATTCACACTTTCATCTAGGGACAATTTAAGGCTAACCATTAGCCTAACAGTTATGTTTTTTGAACTTTGGAGAGCAGAGTACCCAGAGAAAACCCACACATGCACAGGGAGAWCATGCAAACTCCACCCAGAAAGGTCTCAGGCAGGCACCTTCTCACTGAGACCTTAGCTCCACCAAACTGAGCCGTTGTTATGCCCTATAAATATTTATTCAGCTTTTTTTCAAAACAGGACTGTAAATGTTTTCTGTGTTCAAAAAATTCAACGTAAGAATAAAGTTTATTTGTTATTAAGCTTGTGTCTCATGAAGTTCCGACCATGTTTGGCGGGTAATTAATGCCAGATAAAACGTGTCATTGCAAAAGATTAAGCTTGCAACTTATTTTGAAACGTTACAATGGCTGTTTTTTTTTTTTAATTAAATATATAATAAGTGGATTAAATCACTGAGTTCTGCAGATGTATTATAATAAGTACTACTGCCTTTTCAGGCATGGTTCATCAACTTGTGATTTTGTTTGTGCTTACAGTTATGGGACGGCAGAACTTTGCCTCCATCACGTGCACCTCGTTGCTCAGATGGTGGGTAGGAACAAACTATTGATGCAATGTAATGTTTCTGATACCGAGCCCTCTTATTGGTTTACATGATTTATTTTCTGTTCTCCAGGTGAAAGCGTGCACCGCTGAGTGTTACCAGTTGTTCCACCTGGGACTGCTGCTGAAACGCCTGGTTTTTCTTATGACGCCAAACCACCAGGTTAGAAAAGACGGAGTCCTAAAAAGGACAAAAATGACTGATGAGACTTGTTTCATTAAAGGCCTGCTCTTTTATTACCTCAGTTTAACCCAATGACTTAACTGAAACTAAAAGTAAAAACAAGTTTMGTTAGTTTAATCCATAAAGCACACCTGAAAGCAGAGGGACTCTTTTTATCTTCGACACCCCTCTAAGGGGTGACTTACCAGGATATTAGAAAGTGGGGTTCGGTTATCTGCAGACTGTACCTGCTGAGTGGCAGCTGTACTAAACAAATTTGGACACTAACTTTAGTAGTCATTAAATAAATTACAGTTCTAATCAAAACCAAAACATTATCTATTTGCTGGTTTATGACTGGAATCCTTGAATGTTTGTGAATTTGAAAAAAATATTTCAAGGCCCTGGAAAGTTTGTGAAAACAGCCAAAAATTACACTTGTCCTTGAAAGTCCCTGAACGTTTTTTTGGGGATTGAATTTTTCTTCACATAACTGATTTTCATCATCTTTTAAAAATAAATTATAAAATTTAATAAAAATAAACTTACATTTGTAAATTAAAATAAAAAAATTACGTTAAACTGACGTCATTGTTTCTGACTCAACTTCTATGTTGTTCAGTTTTTCATTGAATTTACATGATATTAAACCTGTTTATTGGTAACATTCAGCGGTAGCAGTAGAAAATTGTGGTCGCGCATGATTCTTTGAGGAAATTGATACTGGAAAGTCCTTGAAAGGTCCTTGAATTTGATGTTGACTAAGGTGTAGGAACCCTGRTATATTCATATACGCACAAACACACTTGGGTCTTTTTTTGATACCGTAAATAAACGACCAGACCTCTGACATGGCTCTCTGCTTCAGTTATTCCTGGCTACGCAGCATCAATATCATTATAATGATCAAACAGATGCCGCTCAACCAACCATCTCCCCTTCCAAAACAGAAACACWAAGCTAAAAGTGGGAAATCAATATTGGACATTAATATCGGCCCAGTTTTACACATCGGACCGATARSATATTCTAAAAAATGACCAATATCGGCCGATACCAAGGTTAATGTRGATATATTGTGCATCCCTAGTCAAAAGAGTCAGGACACCTGTTTTAATTCAGAAAGAAAAGGGAAAAGGAAAAATSTGAATACCACAGCAAGRAATGGGTGAGGGGAACTGTCTAAATCATGGCTGCCATATTGGATCAAAGGCAAGTTTTTCCAAAGTTCGGCCCCCCTCACACATTACTTGCTGGGGTATTCAGATATTCATTTTCCRTTTTCTTTCTGAAATAAGAGTGTCTTGTGTCTTCTGACTCACCCTGTTGATTATATGTGCACAGAGCAGAAAAGTAGACCAATTTGTTTTTTTMTTTMMTTTTTTTWATTCCCAGATGGAGCTMGTGGCTCATTTTCCACCGTCGAAGGTGGAGAACCTTCCGGTGTGGCATCACGTCCTCCTCAGGGCTCTTTCACGTGAAACGTCTCTCCATGTGCAGGCAGACATTATCGGCCTCGCTCAAAAGGTGCTAACTGATTGGGAAGATGGAGGATACAAACTTGGACAAATGGAGAAAGTGGTGAGAACTTTCACAGATTAGCAATAGCATTGTTTGATTGATTTGAATGTTTCTTTGGAAGCTTTGAGATCTAGTGCTCTTAAAAAAAGTTTTTTTTTTCCCTTCTTATCCCAAAAGCACGACTAGTTCTGTAAGTTTTTTAAGTTTTAAAACGGTTTAACTGTCTGATACATCTATTTAAATCAAAACTATCAGACTTTTCAACTCAGGTTGTTCTGCAGCTGCCATCTTGCTCCAGAATGAACTGCCAAAACAAAACAAGGAAACAAGGTGGAGAACGTGAAGAGAAAAGTCAAAACCGTTGAATTWATGAAGTCTCTGTTGTTGGCAGAACGCTGTGCTGTTGTCCCTCCTATCAGTGCTCCGGGGCCAGCCATCTCCTGGAGAACAAAGTGTATTGTCTGCAGTGAAGATGGTCACACAGCTGTGGTCCAGAATGTGTCCTGATCAGGTGAGAACAGTTCAAACACAAACACAGTGTGGAAAGCCAGCGTGARGTATCTGTAACACGTCACACTCAGGTGAAGACCCACCCTGTACTTCAGCACACTCTGAAGCTCCTGCTGTCAACAGTGGCCATTTTAGTGAAAAACATTGAGCCTCAAGTCATTTGTCAGGTAAACTTTACTCTTTACATAAAAATGTATTAAGCAGTTAAAAAAAAGGAGAATGGAGTTTGATGCTGGCTGTTCTTTCAGGCAGTGTTGTGTCTGGATGCTGTGGTTTCTCAGAAATGTGCTGATCATCTGTTGCTGGCTGCCCTGGACTTCCTCTCATCCCTGGGAAAGATCTTCATCCCTCCAGACAGTCAGGTAATAAACCCAAACTATTACAGTTTGTTTGTTCCAGATGTTTAGTTGGTGAGATTTRCTCCTGTTCATATGAGGTCCCAAATGTTTGAACCTGCTACCCTGTTTTTAATAATTTATGACTTATAATTTAATGAAATAAAAAAATAATAAGAGTAAAAGAATGAAAAATCCAACAGGTCGTCGTTTGTCTATACAATTTGTTGTCTTTAAAATACGTATTTATAAACTACACTAAAAACTAAAATTGAGTTCCCTTTTTTTCGTATGTTTTTCGGCACGTTTTTCTTTTTATAATTTTTGTGCTATTTCAACAATTCATATATGTCAAAACATTTAGCTCCTTTGGGACATTACAGCTATGACTTTTGGTATTTCAACAATTTATACTTTTTGAGATATTTAGCTTTTTCAGCTATTTTTTTTTTCTTATAGAAAATGAAGAATTGTCTTCAACATCCTTAAAACCCTTTAAAATGCTCATAAATCGACTGTACCTTTCACCTTTTGTTCTGGTCCTGCTTTAACTTCTTTGTGCTAATTTCAGCATCTTGTTACAATTTTAGCTTTTTCTGCCATCATTCTCACCTTTTTCTTTTGTAAATTTCAGCTTTTTTGTGCTTCTTTCAGCTAATTAAAAATTTTAATGCCTTTTTTTAGCCTTTCTTACTAATTTCAGCTTCTTTTTTGCATTTTTAGCTATTTTCAGCTCATTTGGGCTTTTTTCAGCTAAATTGACCTTTTTGTAATCATTTCAGCTACTCTGCTTAATTCAGCAATATGTGCTGTTTCTTGGTCATCATTTCAGCTACTTTTTAAACTAACTTAAGCCTCGTTTCAGCTGTTTAACTATTTCAATACAAATTGCAAGTTGTTTTTTTATTTTTTGCTAATTAAAAAATTTCACTTTCATTTTCTCTCTTATCTAGTTTGTTTCTATTTGCTAATAAGCTTTTTTGCTCTTTTGACCCTTTTGCTGTCTCTTATATTTCACTTTTGTTTTCCTACTTTCAGCTAAACTCAGCTCACGCGCGTGTGTCTTAGTCTTTCCTAAATATTTTCATCAGCTTTCAGCAAAAAAATCTTTGAGCATTAAGGCATTCACAGTGCACTTTTTGCAAGAAATGCATTTTCTCTCATTTGATTTTAGTGTCACATGTTTTTGCCCCAGAATCAGATTCTTCCCAGGTTGAGCAGCCTTTTCAGAATCCTGCTGGCTGACAAATCCTGGCTGATACARCAGCACGCCCTGGAGGCATTTTCCTACTTTGCAGAGGTTTGACGTGAATAAAACTGATGCAATGATTTCAGATGTAATGCTGTGTAGGGTTGAAATCTGAATATGTTTCTCTGCTGTTTAAGAATACAAACCACGAAGAGGTTATTTCACAGAGTTTGGATGTGGAAGAGACCAAAACCAAAGTGGTCAGTTACCTTAGCAAGGTAGGCTAAATCAACCTACAATTAGGTTTGGGCATAATCGTATCGTGTGCAATTAATCGTCAGAAAAACATTAATCGATTATTTTTTGGCACTTGACAATTAATACGATTAATGCCACCAGGCAGATGGACTGGAGATTTCCCCTGTCGGTCTGCTCAGTGCTCTTCTCTGCTTCAAGTATTACAAATATTTTTAAAAAATACAGTTGTTTGCAAAAGTATTCATACCCCTTGAACTTTTCCATATTTTGTCACATTACAACCTCAAACATAAATAT